GCGTTGTCTTATAAAAGGCATTTGAAAATACCTCCAATGTTGTTCAAATTCTCTGATGTTGTTGACACTTTCGTGTTGCCCTGCCAAGCAACTGCACAGCGGTGCTGCGGTACAGAGGTACGGGTGTAGCAAATATAAAAACATGTGACGTCACCTAACCGTTTCTTGGCGAAATTGTTTAGCAAACAATTTAGCATTGGCACCAGATTACCAGATTTCGCACCTCTTTCTTGTGGGTTTTAAGCAAATGTGCACTGAAATGGGAGGAACTAGAGTTTATTTTGCCATAAGGTAGTGTGATTATGCATGACACGAAGTATTTGCTAGTCTAGTACTGGAGAAATTAGCATTTGGATGCGCATAGTGCGGCTTTAATGAAAGCACAGTAATAATCACAATTTTATCAATTATTTACAATATATTACTACATAGTGAAGATCAACAAATAGCGACCAGCGAACACTCAAACAATGTTGGCTGCTGCAGTCCATACTGTAACACAACCTAACTTTAATGAAAGCACAGTAATAATCACAATTTTATCAATTATTTACAATATATTACTACATACATACGTCCAGGCATGTATAGATTCTACTAGCAAACCCGGCAGTCAAATTCTTTCTAACAGTAAACAAATCCATGTTTAACCATCCCCTTGAGGGTCAAAAGGTTATCCGACACTTACTCTTCGCACGTCAGCGGAAAGCACATTTCATGGTCCTTTCAATAAAGCCATAAAAATGCTAGGTCACCGCTGAAACAAAAAAGTTTTTCAATTGCTCCATCAGACCATGTCCTCAGAAAATGTCTAAAATCTCCCCTGTGCCCCATTGACCTTTGACATGTGACCTCCAATTTCGGCACAGTGATGGTTTTTCTTACCATGATGCTATACACTGACTATCACGAGCCTAGGTCGAGCCGTTGAGAGTTGTGCCGCAATTCTGCATTTCCTCCCTATACCTTAAGTTAAGGTGGGAATGTTCCCCCTTCTTTTACACCTCTTGACCTTTGACCCCCAGCTTCGACATCCCAACTCGTTTTCGGATTACTCCCCTTCCCCCCCCCCCTCCCCCCACCCACCACCACCCCCACGTCCCGAATATCGTGACTGTACGTCGAGCAGTTTAGATTTGTGCCCAACTGTTGACGGACGGACGCTCGGACGGACGGACAATCATGCGATTTTACAAGCTGCATCTGACTATGTCAGATGAGCTAAACATTCACCAGTTGATTTAATGTTTCACACATGCAAAACGGCCTGAGCCTTTCGATTACGCTTGCTTTTCTCCTGTAGAAGTCGCCTTGTTTCATACTTAAAGTAGTAATGAAGGCGGCATCTGAGGTACATGATAACAAGTGTTTTCACAATGTGTGTGTGCATAGAACACACTTCCAATGTGGACAGCGCGACACGGTTGCAGACATATTGTTCAAGCTCTTTCAACAGGCTAGTGCTAGCAAGCAGATCTCCAATGTTTTGCTGAAAAGTGTTCTCGACCTGCTTCAGGATGTGCATAAAATCTCTTGATGGTGCATTCAATGCTCCAAATGCACCTTTCTTGTGACTGTAAGCCTTTAGATGCACGTACAGTTGTCCATCCTCTACTACGTCATCCTCTGTTGTCAGCAAAATCCTCAGACAATCCTCACAGGAAAATTCAAACTTCTCTTGAATTTTGTGCACTAGATAGTATGTACGCAAGAACATTGGTCACTTCCGCAGGAGTTTCAAAGTCCGCAGTTGCAATAACCTCGAGGTCTTTCTGTGCAACAGACGACTGCTCGGGTTTTGTCCTAGGGCGTTTTGGTGCTGGTTCCTGTGAGTGGTCTTCATGCATGCTACATGCTTCACTGGATAGATGCCTCAAACTGCTGAGCATTATGTCGTTGTCATAGACACAGTTTGCAGATGGAAGGCTCGCCAATATAAAATTTGACGCCAGGTTTCTGTAGGCAAAGCGGAACTCTCGTGCAGATGGGTTAAACCTGTGTCCTCCTTTAGCTCTTATCTGGGAAAAAACGTTTTCTATGCAATCTTGGTTCAGGCGCCCAGTAAGCAAAAACTTCAAAGGCCCTTTCACCACCAAATCCTCATGTATTGATAAGACAACATTGATGTCTTGAATGAGACCATCAAATGAAGGTGGTCTGTACTTCTT